ATTTGTCAGGTTTTTATGGCTCTTGAGAGTTGAATGAAGTACTGAAGAGGAGATGGCCAGCATTCCGTCTCATTTTATTCCAAGATCTCGGGGGAGGGGAGCTTTGGTGTGCTCTTTTGGTTCGATGTTAACTTTAAGAGGTTTTGTAACTAAAATTTATTGGATGAAGAAAGTTCTTTGTTCTCCTCGTTCTAAAGATGGTTTCAGAGTGGGCCAGGCTGCAAGAAAGACAGAGAATGGAGTAGGCCTCTGTCTGTGTTCCGAGTGAGGCCAGGTGTGTGGGGGTGGAGGAGGGGATTGCATGGGCCTGGGGAGAACACTAGTTCTCCGGAGAGCTTTAGGTCAGTAACGCACATTTTCATGACAAATATGTGGTCAAACACTTTGGAAAGGCTGAGTACTGCATCATCCATTTAGAGGGTCACAACCCACACTGGCATTTAAAGGCTCTCAGTATCTTCCAGCAGAGATCATTATTTAAAGACATGCAATTTCCTGCATCTGGTGCCCACAAGAACAAATACTGTTGTTCACAAAGATTTCATAGGTCCTATCTCTATTGTTTGATTTTCTTGTCAATGTGATGGAAGCAACTGTTAAAGGTGTAATTTGCTTCCTTTGATTCCTTAGTTCACAGTATCAGTTCATCATATTGGCAGTACCAGCTCTGTCTGTGGCCTGTGGGACCACTGGCTATATCCTGGGACAGACATGAAAACAGGAAACAGGGTACAGCTATAATTCTGAAGCTCCCTTGTTCTTTTTATTTTTTAGTTTAATTTATTTTAATTTAATTTAATTTTATTATTGTATTTTATTGCTGTGGTAAATATCATGACCAAAAGCAACTTGGGCTTGTACATCTCAGTCACAGTCCCTCACTGAGGGACAGCAGGCAGGAGCCTACTTTCTGGCTTGTTGCCCATATCTGGTTCAGCTACTTTTTCCCCCAACATTTTTTTATTATTTGGGAATTTCACATCATGCACCCCAACCGCCCTCACTTCCCAGTCCTTCCAGGTCTGCCCCATCTACCCTTATGACTTCTCCCCGCCCCCCAAAAAAGAAGAAGGAATAATAATAATAACAATAATAATAAATTAGACCAACTTGCATTGTCCATATACTCACTGAAACATGGTCAAATACCCAGTAGCCTGTTCCTTAAAGAAAACTGGGTCCTTCCCCACCCCTATTTCCCCCAAAGCCACCAGTTGTAGAAAGCTACACTTCAGCATCCTTAGCACAATTTTTAAGCATTCTCTTCGATGGTTTTCTGTCTAGGCTATTACTTTCGGGGGCAGAGGTTGTTGGGGATAGCGGTTGTCACAGAAGCCTTTTATATCTCTTTTTCTCAACTGTGAGTCTGTACTCATCAAACAGTAGCTTCCTTTACAGTCAAGAGACCACGGACATGACCCGAAACTATCTGTCTGGGAATGGCATGCACCACTTATAGTATCTGGCCCTCCTGTATCAATCGTCAGTCAAGACAATGCCAGGTAGATATGCTGACAGGGCAATTGGATGGAGACAATCCTCAGGTGAGGTTCCCTCTGCTCAGGTGGCTCTAGTCGGTGTCAGGTTGACAAAAACTAACCAGGACTCACATTCTACACCCAGCAAGTGATCTGCTTTCTCCAGCTGGACTTTACTTCTTGAATGTCCCACAGCCTTCTGAGGCAGTGCCATGAGTTAGGAATTAAATGTTTGAACATATGACTCCATGGAGAACGTTTCACATTTAAACCGTAAGATCATCTGTACCCAGGATAAAGCTTCAGGACTGTCACTTGCTATGAAATCTGTCAAAAGTTGGTACATCGGAGTTCTTGAAATTTTAGCCATGCCCTGCTTTTCCCTTCACAGGTCAAAGCCCACTGAGAACTAGACTGGGGCATCAAATAGGTATCAAAATATAGTCTTTGGTAGTAGTTAGCCAGATTGGAGGGAGATCAGCTCTAACTACAGTCTGGCCTGGAGTCCAGATGGGCTTTCAAATGCTTTCTTCTGAACCAGATAGGCTCGCCTATCTAGCTATAGGAGAGGGAAGGTCTAGCAGCCTCAGTGGCTTACTTGCACCTTAGCCTTAGGGTCAGACTGGATGCAAAAGTTCCATGGACAGACAGACATCCCCCACCTCCAAAGGAATGAGCCCAAGAAAGGAACATGAGCCAGCCACCATGTTCTTCATCCTACAGAAAGGTTATACTGGAAGCAGAAAGCTTTAAAGAAATGCAGAAAGCTGAAGTGGGCAGAATTTTGAAGGTTACCTATGCGGGGACAAGGGAAGAGAGCTGCTTGTTCCACTGAGACATAGTTTGGATGAAAGGTGGTTGTTACCCTGGCATTCAGGAGAGTAAAGACTAGAGCTCTGATAAGCTGGCTTGTAAAGAAGGCGGGATGGGAAAGATGGGCCGTTTCTCAGGGACCCAGGCAAAAGAAGGTGTTGGGGTGGAAAGAATGAAGTCCTAACCACACAGTTTGAACCTGTTTCTCTATTTTCCCTGTATTGTAGCCAGCTCAGCCATGTGTGGCGTGCTGATGCCTATGGTGGAGGAGGGTACTCATTAATGGAGGAGCCAGGGAGGCAGGCACCAGCGTAGGCACTGAAAAGAGCTCCCCACCCTAGGAAGATGGCATCCATAGTAACTGTGGCTGTTAGGCAGTGGGAGTGAGAAGCATGCCAAGAAAGAAGCCCTTCTTTTCCTGGGGCACTCATCCAGTCACACTCGCCTGCTACTTTGCTCTTGAACATTTGGCAAATGCTTCTGACAAATTGTGGGAGGGTGGTTTCACTAAGCCTAGCTCTCTTCCCTGAAGCTCCAGATCATTCTTGAATTGTCTTGGGTCCTGAGAACTCACAAGGAGTGGAGGCACTAATAAGAGTCCTTGGAGATGTGTGTACTAAACTCAGCTGACTTCTTGTAGTTGACATATCCAGGTCCCTAACGACTGTCAGTCAAGTTGTGACTGACATTCGGCTCTCGTTATGACAGGCTTGGGAACGGGCTGTGTAAAACAAGGCCCGTTAGGGCTCTGTTAAGAGCACACCCTTGGTGAATGTAAGATTTCGCATCATAATATGTCGGCGTTAATTGGTTCTCACCAGACCAGGAGTTGGTATTTAATCCATTCAGATCATTAGATAGCCAGGGACCTTTTTTGTCCCCACAGCAGACTGGCTATTTGCTCTTAAACCTGAAGATTATGTTCCTCCATAGCTGGACTGACCCCATGACTAAGGAGCAAGGGTAGTTAACACTGTGGCCAATTATGATGGGGGGGGGGGTGAATGGAAAGGGGTGTGGAACTGAGCTAAAAATGAATCCTGAACAGGTGGGACCACTAAGTATTCTGAATGCAATATGTATCATTTTCTCCATGTGGTTAAAGACCGTTCTTTTAAAGTTCCCTTAAAGAAAAAGAAACCCGAGCCAATAAATCCCCTGCTGGGTTAGCATGAGGATGAGCACCGTGTAAGAAGCGGGGTGTGGTGATGTGTGCTTACAATCCCAGGCCGAGGAGGTGGAGGCATGTGCATCTCTGGGCTTCACTGGCCAACTAGTCTCGCCTAATCACAGAGGGACCAGTCTCAAAAAACAAAGGGACGTGAGTGTGTCTGTGCATCTCCAGTACTGGGATTACAAGTTTGTGCCACTGTGCCTGGTCTTTTGTTGTCATTGTTCCCCCTCCTTGGGCTCTGGGGACCAAATCCTGGTCTTTATGCCTGCAACACAAGAACTTTACAGGCTGAGCCATCTAGCCAGTCCTTGAATAATATCCTAGCTGGTATATGCTAACAACACGCATTTTATATAGCATGTTTCCCCAATCTTCCCGCCTCCCCTTTCTCATCCTGAACCTCCTGTTTTGCTCCTTTGTTCTACTAGACATTTATGTCATTTATGACATTCATGTTATATAACATACTCGTGTCTGTGTATCTATATAAAGTCCAGGATCCGGAAATGATAGAAAACATTTAGTAGTCGCTCTGAGCCTGGATTAATTTGTTTGATACCATCATTTCCAGCAACTAGGAATGTATCTAAGGCCTTGGTTAATCTTAGGATGGTGGAAATGCTTTGATTTTGTTGTTGTTGTTGTTGTTGTTTGTTTTGTTTTAGGAGCAGGGGTAGCCCAGGCTGACCCAGAACTTGGTCTCCTCCTGTCTCAGTGCTGGGTTTATAGATCTGTACCACCCTGCTGACACTCATGTTAAGATAGACCAGATGATCTGCAAATTCATTCTCTTGAAAACAAAATTCGACTAAACATATAATTACATATAGTTTAACTTTTAAAGATGTTGGAGTTTTCATAGAAATTGACTCGGTGTTTATCTCTGTGTTACTATTTTTTTGTTATTGTTGTTCTTTTTCTGTACTGGATGTTGAGGTTGAGGGTTTGGAAGATGGGATACTCTAGCAACTTGTATCCTATGGCCTCTTAGATAGGGAGGAGGCAGCATAAACCTGTTCTGGTCACACCATTGGCACAGTTAGTGCAGTGCTTGGCCGTTTGGTCCAAGCTGTCTCTATTCTTCAATGAAGCTAGAAAAGCTGGTGCTGGAAGGGAACCTGGTGACCCAATTAAATCACACAACTCTAGCTTTGAGCAATTTTCTAACTCTTGTCCTATGGAGCCATAGAAAAGACATAAAATTAGCTGTCTAAAGATATGGGTACAGTGCTCTGTTAACAGTTCACTGGGAAGCTCGGTGAGGTTGTCTACATAATGCCCACACTGCAAGACAGATTTAACTTAGGACTGTCCTCTGAAGAAGAGCCTGGTGCTTGGAGGATTTCTATGACCACCATCAATGAAACAATTAGAAAGTGGCTAGAAAAAGCCCTAACTCCAGTCCAGCCTCTTCTCCTCGGTGCCACACTAGCTGTGCCTGGCATCCCAGGTGCTTTGTGCCAATGCCACAAGCAGATGGGCAGAAGTCAGTCTAATCCAGGCCTTGTTTTAACATTCTTCTTGTTTGGACACAGATATCGGAGTCACGGTAGCTTTCACCCTGAGGAGACCAGGTTGGTATGGCTGTGTCTGTGTGTCTCTTAACTTCTTCTGGGTGGTCTGGGAGGAGATGTCTTAGATCCTGAACAAGAAAGCCACATCTTTTTGGAGTTCTATTTTAGAGCAATAAACACACAGGGAAAGGGCAGGTATGATGGAAGATACGTCGGAGACTTACCGGACAAGTCTCCCTGATTTGGTAGTTGGCTCCCATGTATTGGCTAGAAGCTCCAACTCTACTTTATGAGAAATGACAAAAGCAGCACTTACTCCATGGTCTGTGGTGGTGATCCTAGGAGGTCACATGGAAAATGGCATCTCTGTCACACGGTTCCTTATACGATTATTAAGATTCCTATTATCTTATCACTGGTACTGTAGTAATTTGTAGCAAACCTTACACTTTATAAAACATATCTCCTATTTTAATGCCATTTTGAATTGCGTAAGAAATGTCTTTGTGTCACACGGGGATAAAAGCTCACCTACGTACCGAGCCTCCAATTCTAAAGCCTGAATCACACAGCTTTCCCAAGCTGCGTCTTCCAGCACTGACTCTGTTCCTAGTGCCCTGTCCTCCTGTGCCATGAGCAGTGGAGACCGGCAAGCCACACTTCCTCTCTGCTCCTGGATGGCACAGGGTGGTGGAGGAGAAAGTCCGTTTTCACGGAGAAGCCTTCTCATGCCAGGAGCACCCTTGACCACTTGTCCCAGTTCCAGGCAGACACCCTGCGAGGTTCATCAAACTGATGTCGCTGTACCACTGAGGGGCAAACTGATTAAAGTGCCTGATGCATTCCTGAAAGATTTCTGTACTTACTCTGCAGAGAGGTGAGCTCTAGACAGGGGATTTTGAACTCCAGCCTTGCCCTCAGTAAAGTAAAATTTTCTAAAGGTAGTTCAAGATATCAGTTCTTTTTGGAAAGACCCAAGCCCTTAGGAGACTCTAATGGACAAAGTGCTCTTTGTTTCAAAGGGGAAGAAGTACCAGGGTCAAAGGATGATTATCCCTCTCTCCCTCTGCCTCAGTAGCCGTCTCAGCCATGCCCCAGTGACTTAGTCAGGGTTTCTCTGGGAGAAGCCAGAATGCCAGGCTAGTCATGTTTTGTATGCTGGTCTCCCTCCACTACCACTATTATTGACTAGGAGCGACTTCCCTTTTGCAGATGGAAATAACTCAGTCTTGACAAGCAGCCAGCAGATACTGGCCAAGTTCCTGAGGGTATGAGGTTCTGTCTCCATGAACCAATCACGGTGATGAGCTCTTGAGGAGCATATGTGTGGTTTCAGAGTTTGGAAAGGACCAGATGTGGGTCTCCTGTGTGGTGGCTACCCTTTGAAAGGCCAGTAACAGCTATCACTGGGAATGTTCTCTTAGAAAATTCAGAAAGGGGAGTCCCTTTGTTCTCCGGAAGTTCCTGGGGGATTTAGGATGATGACATTCCCTCTCAGAGGGCACTCATTTGCTACCACCTGTATACCAGGCACTGCCTAAGCCTTCTGCTTATTTTGCTGCATTTTATTCTCACTCGGGCCATGAGGCAGGTACCCTGGTATATTACTTTCACACAGATGAAGAAACTGGGAGAAGTCCAGACCACGTCTGAGTGCTAGTGTAGGCCGTTCTCTGCATCTCAGCCCTGCTGTATCTCACTCTCAACGACCCCTATGTCCCCTAGGTCAGAGCCCATCATGACGCTTGGCCTCACTGCACCATTTGTCAAAGAAATGACAAAAGCCTAAGCAACAAATGAGTAAATCAATCAAGTGGAGATTTGTTTCTTCTGCTCCTTGGCCTTAACCTTATCTCTTAGACGAGATTGAGACAGGGTCTCACTGTGTATCCTAGGCTGGCCATGAGCTCACAGCAGAAAAATAACAATAACAACAACAATAACAAACAAAGGCTTATTGAGCAACTATATTTTATATACTGTGATAATTTCTTTCCATTTATTACACTGTTACCCAGGTGGGGATCTTGAAGTTAGGGCAGCTCAGGGGCCCGCTCTAGATTGTGAAGACACTGCTGGGATGAGGGGCAGGCAGGCTGACTATGAAGTGTGTAACCCTGCCCGTGGAACTCCACCACCTACCTCATCAGTCCCACACCCAGACGCACAGGCCCAGGGGCTACGAGGAGAGAGCAGTAGGGCTGCTGTCCTGTTCAGTGGACACTCTGTAGCCAAAAGCAATATGTGAGAAGTGGGAGGGCAAGCCGAGTCTCCACTATGCTCACCTTCTGGGCATACGCCATGTAGCGTTTGAGCAGGGTGCTTATGGTAAGGCCTCAGCGGGTACCAGAGCTTCTTGACCTCAGAGCCAGTGTGACAGCCTGGCTCTGGAGAAATGATGCCTCTGCTAAGAGGACTGGGAGAGTCGGGGTCCTTGTGGTTATAGAGAATTGTAAACTAAGCAGGTCTCCCGGAGCTGTGTGGCCTGAGAAACCGTGGCCACTCTCCCTGGCTCCTCCTCTGCAAGCTGGGCAGGAGACAATTGCTGTCATCTCTTAGAGTATATCATAGAACCTGGCCCTGCCAAGCCAGGAGACATGAGAGGTGCTGGGCTACAATTAGAGCCTCCAGCCTGCTCCTGTCACGTGCAGTGGTTTCTAGAAAAGGGTAACCCGGAGGTCTGGGGGGAAGCTCTCCTAACACGTCTTTCAACCCCCACCCTGGGTAGATGAGGGGGCGTGGCCAGCCAGTAGCACCCACCATCCCTGTGTGCATGCTTTCTCCCAGCAGGAGCAACAATGCATTTCGATGATTGTATTGATGAGTTTTCCTTCTTTTCAGAAAGGGAATGTTTGGGCTGAAGCTGAAGAAGAAGAAGAAAAATAAAGCAGAGAAGGGATTGATCCTCACCAACAAAGGTGCACAAGGTGCGGTCTGGTGTGGGGTGCTGCCCACTGCGCAGGCCTGAAGGCCTCACTGCCGGGACTCTCCTTGTCAGAGAATGCGGCTGTGTATGGGGAAGGAAGCAGTAATCTTCCTGCTGGCTCTCAGGTTCTTCTGAATCAGGTGTGGGCCTCAGGGAAATCACCCCAAGGCCCAACATCATGGACAAACAGGGGTGGGGTAGACAGCTGCTGGGCCCTGGAATGGGCCATGTGAGAAAGTGGTGACAGGTTCAAGCTCCATTTTTGCTTTTGTTTTCACTGGGTAAGTGACTCAGGAGTTCTCAGTCTCCCATTATCAAATGGGCATGGCATGGCTAGCCAAGCTGACCTCACACAGCCCTGGGGAAGGTTGAGGACATTTTTCAAAGTAAAAGCCAGGATTCTCAAAGTAAGAAGGGAGGGGGCTTCCTATACCTTGTCCGATTTATCCCCTTCTTGCCATCAAGATTACAAGGTTACAGAGACATAGCGAATGAAAATTATGCATGGCAAAGGCTGGCTGCAGAATTTGTAAAGCAAGGGTATGTAGGTGGAAATGCAAAGCCATTGTTAAGAAATGAAGAGGGATTTCAAGGTGGCAATGTAACACCTAAATCGCGTGGGAGAAGATAGGTCCTTCTGAAGAAGGCTCTGCCTGTCTGTGTCAGTCAGCTTGTCCTGAGCATGGGGGAGCCTGCTGGGAAGCAGCCACATTGGGAGGTCAGTCCAGGCTGCCTGTGTTTCTGTGCTTTGAATGGATTATTCCTTCTGCCAAGTGAGGACCAAGCGTCTTCTTGGGTAGGCAGTTGGCATAGATGAAATCAAATAGCATCTATGGTTTCCAAGTGGACAGACAGGTCTTGGGTGGCTACCTGGAGACTTCTACCTAGTGGCTTTGATAACATTCAGTTAAGGGCTGGCATTCTGAACCTTCCCTAGACCGAAATGGCACAATGGGTATAACTTATCTTCACCCTTTTTGAGGTGCTTCATTGCTATCTAGTTCCCCCGCAGCCTTAAGCCCACATAAAGCCACCCTTTGCCCTGAGTAAAACCCACTCTTACAGACAAAACAATGAACACTCATTCATACTGAGACATTGGTGATGATGACTAAGTACCCTAGGATGGAAAGGGAGGATAGAACATTTTTAGTGGCTACAAGGCTTGAAACCTAATAAGAAGGCTAGGATGATGGCTCAGTCAGTAAATCAGCATGAGGACCTGAGTTTGATCTTAAGAACCCACATTATGGGAGTGTGCAATTTTAGTGCTAGGGAGGTAGACACAGACATACCCTTGGGGCTGGCTGGCTAGCCAGCCTTGCTCAATCAGTGAGGTCCAGGCAAGTCTCAAAAGTCAAGATGATGGATGATCGAGGAAGACATCTAAGGTTGACCTCTGACCTCTGCATGCACACACATGACCTGCTTTTCTCTCTGTAGTGGAGACCTTAATAGGAATACTTGTTTGTTCAATCAAATTGCTAATATGCGTGGGAGATTTAAAGGGCTCTGGGTCTTTTCTTGGTCCTTGAAATTAGGTCCTGAGGCTACCAGGTTGACTAAAAGATGGCCCATTCTCTCCAGGGTCTTATGAAATCTACACATAAAACATGTTTAATAAGCTTCTGACACCTGCTGCTACTTGACATGCATCATTCATGACCCTGAGCGTTAGATTCTGTCACCTGTATTTCAGAACAGAACTTCTTTTTTAAATTTATTTTTTATATTAATTACAGCTTATTCACTTCGTATTCCAGCTGTAGCCCCCTCCTTCATTCCTTCCTAATCCCACCCTCCCTCCCTCATCTCCTCCCAAGCCCCTCTAAAAGTCTGATAGGGGAGGTCCTCCTCCCCTTCGATCTGATCCTAGATTATGAGGTCTCATCAGGACTGGCTGCAATGTCCTCCTCTGTGGGAGCAGCCATCCCATACTAATGGGCGAGTAGCTTGTCCCAAAGAAGTCACACAGCTGACATGGGGTATGAGCTTTCCTGACTTGTGGCATGATCTCTGGTCAGGAGTCCACCCTCACTGGCTAGCAGAGAGGAGATTAGAGCAGTCAATACCAGGCATATCAGGGGAACTAGCTCTGTGGCTACTTCTTGTTAAGAGTCTTCGGCCCACAAAACAAACAGGGCAGAGGGCCATCAGCCCCACCTAGAAAGTAAATGGCATCTATCCTGCTGGGAGGGGCTGGCCCTGTAGGAAAGGGACAAACATGGGTGTCCAAGCAGAATCATTGGTCGTTCCTTCTTGGTTTAGCTTGGGAAGATAGGGCTTTTGGTGTGTGCTCAAGCGTGCGCGTGTGTGGTATGTCCTTAAAGCCCATTTCATGTGTATTTTGAGGCATTGTGATCATGTCAGAATTGTTGTTACGCTAATGGTTAGAGGCTAACCCATTCCTTCATTAGTTGTTCAGTAAGTGGTAACTCCCGTGGGCACCCATTGATTCACTTACTCAGTGAACGCTGGTGGAATCCCTGTTAAGTGTCTGGCTCTAGGCTAGGTCTGGTATAGAATGTGGAACTGAGATGGAGGAAAGACAACCTTGGGCACAACTCTTCTGCTTTCCAGTCCCTGCCCTTTCTGGCTTGCCCTCTTCCTCAGGATGTATATCCCAGATCCCTAAGACTCTGTTCTCAGGTGGTATCTGGCCTATGGTGCCCCAGAAGGGGGCTTAAGGAGGGTCCAAGGGAGCCTGAGGTCCAGCTAGCTGTTTCCCTCAGCTGGAAGAATCAAGTTATTACTCTTAGGCTAACTCAACCTGAAAGCTTACTCTTCTCTTTTCTCCTCTTCCTCTTTCCTCACCCCCCCTCATTTGGGAGGAGCCCAGCAGACCAACTTTATCATCCTAAAGCCGCTCCCTTGTGCCACCTGTTCAATATAAGGAGCCTAGAACAAGACAAGAAAAATGAGACACTGGGCTGAGCCGGAGGCTGTTTGGGAGTCTCTATAGATTCCTGGCTCATTTGCACAGAGACTGTCAGCGCATCCACTGGGGGAATCTCTTAGATGTCACATTCTAAGCAAGACTTTAAATGTGGAAGAAGGCCACTAGGGAACAGGCAACAGAAACAAGAGCTCCAGTGTGTGTGTGTGTGTGTGTGTGTGTGTGTGTGTGTGTGTGTGTGTGTGTGTGTGTGTTGTGAAGAAAACCCCTATGGATGAAGAGCAGATTAAGTCAGAATTAGGTCAGAAGGAACTGAGAAAGGTCTGGGTCACCAGAGAAGGGAGAAGGCCAGGTGGTGAGGAGGAGCGGATGGAAGCCAGATGGAACAGGACAGCCACACTCAATCATGTGAGGACTTCAGATTGTTTTCTAAATATGGTGGAAAGCCACCAGGAGGAGGCCTGAAGAGAGGGCACGTGCTACCATTCATTTCTGTTTTGTGAAGATGACTCTGCATGAATGGTGAGAGAGAGAGAGAGAGAGAGAGAGAGAGAGAGAGAGAGAGCACGCCTTGGAGGAAGGGGCCCACGGTCTGTGAGATGCCTCTCCTGCACCTAAGCTTGTGCATCGTCTAGCTTTTTGAAGTCCCTAAGGATGCTTACAGCACATTTGCATCTATGCCAGCAGCTCTGCACCCATAAGGCTCCACAGTCTGCAGAGGACGAGCATTTATTTTATCTTGTTCTGCAAGGCTGCAAGGTGCTCAGCCAGCACTAGCGTCCCCCCGTTAACACTTTTGTCTGGCTTTGGCCTGAGTTTCCTGATAGAGACTGCAGTGATTCAGTCCCTCTTCATCCAGATTTCCTCTCCATAGCTACCAAGAATCTATGAGGCCGTGCCTAGGGACACCGGCTCCAGGGAAGTAGGGCGCTAGAGGCCATCTGTCCTCTGATTCAAGGTTTTTTTTTTTTTCCTTTGTTTGTTTCTTTTTGGCACAGTTTTCTGGTTAGACCAGACAACAAACATGTCAAAACCTAAAAGCACATTAGAAATAATTCAGTTGATGTATTTATAGATGAACCTCGTAAGCCCTGGGAACAGCTACAGTCTGAACAGGGCAGAGGGTTGGCCTGGCGAAAGCCTCATCTCTACCCCACAGAACGACGCTGAGAAAGCTTGGAACAAATGAGCTTTTGGTATATATTGTGCTATTTTGAGACTTTTTCCTTTCCAATCTCTAGTTCTGCTTTGATTCATGGGGAGAAATGCCTAAATGACAAGATTAGTTAAATCACATGTATGCACGCACACAGGTGCATACACAGGCGCTCGAACACACACGTGCACACACATTCAGAGAAAGAGAGAGGGTTTCAATATACAATTACACCTGTGAAAAGTCCTGGCAGCTTTAAAAAGTTTTGAAGACACTTTTCTTATTCAGTCTTTACTTTATAGAAGGAAAATAAGCGGGGAAATTCCTTCTGGCTCATGTAATCCACCCTCCTTAGGCTGTGACAGGCACAGAGCTGGGCCGCTGCCGTGTTTATCTTCCCAATGACTGTGTGTTATGGTAGGCATCAACCCTGCTTTAACTGTAGATAAGAAAAACATAGAACCAAGAGAAAGTAAGTAACAGGCATAGATTTAGCAAACTTTGGTCAATATCTGGGGAACAGATGTAATCTTGGTATCCAGGCAATGTTCCAGTGAATTAAATCAGAATCTAGGTTAGGAAGGAGGAGTCTAAGGATAGGACTGCAATCCACTTGCTTGGGTTTGCTGAATTCTTATAAATTTGTTTCCTTAGGGCTTGCTAGGAAGCTGTCCTCCCTAGGGTAGGTAATTTGGTAACCTTAACACAGCACAGATTTATTATTTCACAGTTATGAAGCCCAGAATGCCTGAGCTCAGCAGCCCTGCGTCGAAGACCTAGAGAACCGTACTTCCCGTTTCCAACTTCTATTCCGTTATTCAGCGTTCCATCACTATGACAAAATACCTAAGGTGACAATCTGATAAGGAGGAAAGAAGTATTTTAGCTCAGAGTTTCAGGCCATGGCTGCTTGGTTCTGTTTTTGTTGGGCCAGTAGCAGGATCAAACATCATTGTAGCGGTTCATGCTAGAGCAAAGGCAGGACAGGGGCAGTTACGCCAGGGTCCTAATCTCTACTGCAAAAATATAACCCTGGTTGCCTAACTCCCTTCCACTAGGCCCCACATCTTTTTTTTTTCTTTTTGTAAAATAACTACACATTATCTGTTTATCTATTTATTTTTTTATTTATCAGATATGACTGTCAAATTAATCTCTGAATAGAACATTTTACAGCATGAACTTCAGCTGATACTAAGAATTGATATTTCATCTGTTTTTTCTAGTTGAGTTATTTTTTCCTTTATTTTTCTTTTTCTCATGGTTCAAGGTTATTTATTTATTTATTTATTTTTGTTTATTCACTTTACATCCTAATAATAGTCCTCTTCCTCCTCTCCTCCTGGTTCCATCATCCTTTCCTCTTCCCCTTACCCCCCCTTCAGAAAAGGGGAGCTCTCCCCCACCAACCCACCCTAGCACATCAAGTTGCATCAGGACCAAGTGCATCCTCTTCCTCTGTAGCCTGGTGAGACAGTCCCACCAGGGGAAAGTTATCAGAAAGTAGGCAACAGAGTCCATGTCAGAGATAGGCCTTGCTCTCCTTACTAGAGAACCCACCTGAAGCCAGAGCTGTCCATTGGCTACATTTATGTGGGTGGCCTAGGTCCAATCCATGCATGGTCCTTGGTTGGTGTTTCAGTCTTCACAAGCCTCTCTGGGCCCTGGTTAGTGGGCTCTCTTGGTCTTCTTGTGGAGCTCCTGGCACCTCCAGGTCCTTCTAGCCTTACCCTCACTTTTCCACAAGACTCCCTAAGCTTCTCTCAATGTTGGTTGTGACGACTCACATCTGTTTCCATCCGCTGCTGGGTATAGCTTCTCAGGGGACAGCTATGCTAGGCTTCTGTCTGCGATCACGGCAGAGTATCATGAATAGTGTCAGGGGTTGGCTCGCTCCCATGGGGTAGGTCTCAGGTTGGTAGGCCCCACATTTTACAGGTCTACCACTTCCCATTTGGGACATAATTTGACCACCAGACCTTCAACACATGACCTTAGGGACATTTAAGAGCTAAACCATAGCAAGGTGGGATGGTATGTGCTGTTCCTCGCTTTGTGGTAGATAGCAGTCAGTCTAATGTTTGCCCTTAGGACTACACTGTTGTCTTTGGTCCTGTTTAAAACCTCCCTCTGTCCGTCCTTGTGAGGATGCACGTGATTGCAATTAGGGCTCAACTGATCACCCATCACATCCTCCTTGTCTCCAAATCCTCGGCTGTGCCTGTGTGTGCAGCCGCCCCACTTCCTTGCTTCGTTTTCAGTCTATGAGGCACCACTCGCGGGGTTCAGGGACGAGGGCCCATCTTTTTTGCAGCCTGTCATTCTGCCTTTCAAAGCTGGCCAGCATGTACCAGAAAGACACTCACTGGGATCTTGCTTCCAGTTTCCTGACTGTTCCATTTACTTTGGAGACTGTTTTTTTGCCAAGGTCTTGGGTAGATTTCCTTAATTTGTGGCACCTGTTTGTATCTTCTATCCCTTCTTACAATGGAGTGGATATGCACACATTAAATTGTGCATCTGTCCACCTGGCTTTCCTGTCAACACAATAGCAAAATCGACAGTGTCAGGGGCTCCGGTGCCTCCCGTGGTGGTGAGCACAAAGTGAAAGCTTGCTTAATTTAACAAGATTTTCTTTCTTCATTTGTTTCTCTAGATGGGGACATGTCTGAAGCACCGCAGGAAGGGGCTTCTCACCAGGAAGGACTGGAAGGAGATTTGATTCATGACAATGCTTCCCTCACTCCTGGTCCTTCGGCTCCCCCAAAGAGAAGGTACAGTGTTTGGACAGGTAGTCTGTGACCTCACTTTGCACCCAGGATGTGCCAGGCTCTTGGAGAACTGGAGAGAAGACCTAGTTGCTGTCCACCAGGAACCCAAGGTCTAAGAAGGGAAGAAGTTTTGTCTTCTCAGCTTCTCTCCGAGTGCCAGCCTCCAGATGCTGGCCAGCCTTGAGCAGAATCCTGGTCCCACTAGCTTCAGGCATTAAAAACCCTGGCTGTGTTGCTGGGAGTTTGGGAATGAACTTAAGAGCAGAAAGCACATTTGAGAACTGTCCCTTAACCTGCTCTTTAATCCATCATGATCCCAATATCCTTAGTTGTTTCTCCCAAAAGGGAAGGTGTTTCCTAAGCTATCAGAAGAAACTGCCTTCTGCATGCTGTGTCAGTTGACTGTGATTGTAAAACAACACAGAACAAAGCCATCCAAATCAGTAGCTTAATATAAACCTTTATTATTGTCCTTGAGGTCAGTTCGATGGTTTTAGAGGTCCCAGATAGTTGTCAAATTGTTATTCACATGTCTGTAGTCACCTGATATCTTAGTGATTTTAGCTAGCAGTTGGTGACAGGCTCATCTAATCCTAGGACTGCTGTGCTCATTTCAGGGCAAAGCATTTGTTTCAGTGTTGCCACAGCAGGGTTGAGGAGCGTGGAAGCACATGAGCTCTCACGATGTAGGCGCAGAACTAACAGGGGTCATTTCTGACACACAGAGTTGACCGATGGGAGTTACAGGGACAGCCCATGTTAGAATGGCAGGAGACAATAAAGGGCGATCCAGGAGAGAAGCCAATTGTTGGGGTCACTAGGGTTTTCTGTCTATTGTATTTGTTTATATCAGTATCTGATATGTGGTAGTTTATCAAGTCCTTCCATTCTTTTTCCATGCAGGTTTGTTACTAACAGTCATACAAATTAGTATCCCTCTGGGTGGTCGGTCCTGAGCTGGTATTTCTATTCTTTTCATTCTTTTCTCTTCTCCTCTTATACATTGTATTCCAACTGAAGTTTCCCCTTCCTCTACTCCTTCCAGTCCCCCTCTCACTTCCCCTCTTCTCCCAGATCTACTGCTCCTCTGTTTCCCTTGAAAAAAAAAAGGGGGGGGGGCAGGTCTCCTAGGGATATTAACTGAAGATGGTATAACAACTTACAATAAGACTAGCACAGACCTTCATACCAAGGCTGGATGAGGCAATCCAGTAGGAGAAAAAGAGTCCCAGGAACAGGCAGAAGAGTCAGAGATACCGTCCACTCCCGCTGTTAGGAGTCCCGCAAGAACACCAAGGTACACAACCATGACGAATATGCAGAGGACCAGGCTCAGACCCATACAGAGTCCGTGAGTGCCGCAGAGCTTGTACTTCTAAGCTGTGACATCATAGTATCATATGTAGGGGCAGGTCAAAAGGAAGCGGGAGACTGTTAGAAATCTTAGGTGGTGATAAACAGAGGTGACACTTAAAAGCAGACATAATTTTTATTTTGTGTGTGTGTGCACACTGTCACATCTCTGTCTCCCTCTACACTGCACCTTGACAACGTCCATCCCCTCCCTGTGGCTCCTAACACTTCAGTTATTGCTAAGCATCTTTTGTGGTGTCCCAGGTCATTTACAGAAGAGAGGAGCACAGAAGAAAGAAAAGGAGTGATGGCCTGTTCTTCCTCCTGGATCAGAGTGCTCTCTACAGATTGAAATTCCGCCCTCCCACCTATGTGCTTAGTCTTTCTTGCTCCGAGTCCTGAGGAGTTTCTTCTCTACAGCTCTCCCATCACACGCTTACCCCCTTGGGACATTTCACACTTATGCATTGGATCTCTGCCTATGCACACTAACCTTCCTTTCTCTGGACAGGGTGCTAGCTCAACAAGGCAGAGGAGAGGGCCTACTCATCTTTATTTTACTCTTAACTATGCCTAGCACTAGGTTTCAAATTGTGAGTAATTGGTATAAATTTGAAATTTGATTGATGAAAATGTGAACGATATATACTTTTTCTTTACCCTCAGCCCTCAGAGTTAAGCATTTGTGATAGGAATCATTACTTTAGAAAAGGAAATTAAAGTTAAGCCTAAAATTGAGGAGAGTAAACATTCAGCCTTCAGGTCAGTCTGATTCAAAAGCCTTGAGAATTTTTTTTTTCTTTGTAGCTGAGAGTAGTTTCTATTGGGCTGAATTGCAGTCGCCGACATGGACTGACGGCAGATACACAGTGTCACTGTTAGAAGCCAAAAAACCAAAATTCAATCAAACTAATCTCAGTTCATTTTCCACCCATTGCTGCTTCCGTGGTAACAAGGAGCCTTCTCCTCTGCCCACGATTATCTAATATCTGAGTGCCCAGGTGCCGCACATATATTTTCAATTACCTGAGACAGACCAGATAAATAAATTCCCTGGGACTGTGAAACTGGGAGATGGCATTTTGGTCATCCCTTCCAATTTTCTCCTTTACCAATCCTTTCAAAAGCAATCACAACACTCAAAATTGCACCTTCTGGAAAGGCTGAACTGTTCCTGGGTCTAAAACTAGCCAGGCAAAGGACAGATCCTTACTTCAACCAATCTTTGCCTCTGATTTTCTGAGGGGTTGTCATTTCTGTGAGGTCAAAATACAAACAGCATGCAAAACCTTACATATAAAAAGTGCTAGTGTTTATTCTTGCGAGACACTAGGTTAAACGTCTGTATGCATTCCTTTATTTAATCCTAGCAATTGCTGGAATTAAATGATCTTATTACCCTCATTATTAGGACAGGGAAACTGAGTCACAGAAATCTTAAGTCACTTGTCTACTTATATTTATTTCCCCAGAGATAGATAATCTGTGGTAGAGTGTAAATGGAGGCACTCTTGGGAACTCTTGGGAAACTCATGGTAAAGTGTCACTGTGTTTTACATGTCTGAAGTTTGTTCTTACATGAAATAGATTAATTTGCTTGTTGCATTGTCTATTTTTTTTGTTTCATACTTGCACGCAGTATTGTCAGTGAATATAAAACAATATATTAAACTTTACTTTAATAGAGCAAAACTGCTGACTAAGATCCATGATGGAGAGATCAAATCTCAAAACTATCAAGTAAGTGAGGGATCATCCTACCCAGCATCCCCCATGTCTCCTCATGAGACTGGAGAGCAATGGTCAGAGCGGTGTGAGCACTGTTTTGTGTTCTAGATCACCATAACCATCACCGAGGCCCGCCAGCTGGTGGGTGAGAACATCGACCCTGTTGTGACCATTGAGATCGGGGATGAGAAGAAGCAAAGCACAGTGAAGGAAGGAACCAACAGCCCATTTTATAATGAAGTAAGTCCAGAGCATCCTGGGGGCCACATCCTCTTCACTGGAAAGGAGAGGAGTGTTCCTCCCCCACAGCTTCTTCCCGGTCTCCAATTTAAATTCACAGCACAGTTTGAGCTCTGTCCACACACAGCCCTAAAACGCTGATAACAAGGTAGTAGGCAGGAGAGGAGAGGAGGCCCACTTTATCTCTCATAAGCTCTTTGTCATTCTTCATAAGCACTGGGTTTGCATCCAGTGAACCTTGGATGTTGGGTAGAGAGACAGTACACATTCTTTTTTTAATATACTTTTTAAATTTATTGCAATTTATTCACTTTGTATCCCAGCTGTAGCCCTACTTTGTCCCCTCTCAATCCCTCTCTCCCTCTCTCCCTCATCTCCTCCCATGCCCCTTCCCCAGTCCACTGATAGGGGAAGATCTCCTCTCTTGCCATCTGACCCTAGCCTATCAGGTATTTGGTACTGTCTTTCATAGTCTTCCTCTGTGAACTGGTCAGGCTGCTCCCCCTTTGGGGGAGGTGATCAAAGAACCAGCCACTGAGTTTGTGTCAGAACAGCCCCTGTTCCCCTTACTAGGGAGCCCATTTGGATACTGAGCTGCCATGGGCTAGAAGGAGGACCCTGGATAAGATGCTCAATCTCATTCAGAAAGGCAAATGAGATTGACATTGGAAAAAGGTGAAAATAAGGAACAAGACAGGAGCCTACCACAAGGGCCTCTGAAAGACTCTACCCTGCAGGGTATCAAAGCAGATGCTGAGACTCATAGACAGAACACATTCTTCTCCATAGGAGGAACACTGAAATTTTAATTACTGAATTTGAAGTAAGCATACTTTGTTGGAAAGCAAAACAGTTGTGTTTTTCTAAGATGCATAGAAACTTCAAAAGAAGATTCTAAAGAGGGAAGTTTCTGAACAATTTCTCTTTATAAATAAAATGTTATTTAGTAAAAAAAAAATATATGGCAGAGTATACAATAACATGTAGTAGAAAATTGCACTTCCTTCTAATGTTTGGACCCTGAAGAAATCTTCCAGAGAGATCCCAAGTATGTACAGGAATACAAATAAATGTCCCAATTGCAGCACTCACTTACTTGTCCTGGGCCATGTTCTTTTTTACAAAATAGTGGGCTCTGGGACAGGGCACAGCTGGTCACATAGGTCAAGCTCATTTCTGCTTCACGGCTGGAGAATTTCCCATTGTTTCCAAGTGTCTTAATTTGCTAATTGTTTAGGCTCTCATCTACACATACTAAAACATTTAACAATTGGCTAGTACTTACAATATACTTATGTGGCCTATTTGAGGACCAGATTATAGGCCTTTAAAGTTGCCTGATACCAACTGCCTGTCAGCATGAATTACTAAAAAAAAAAAAAAAATGCTGCAGAGTTTTCATTACTACCCTAATGGTAATCTACAAGGGAGACAGGGACAGCATGGATAATGACATTAACTGAAAATCCCCAAATCACATTTGAGCTGTTAATTCTTTCCTCTTGACAGTATTGCTCCTGAGCTTTCCAGATGTCACTTTCCTCTCTCTGTTCCTCTCCTCTGTCCTTTTTTTTTTTTTTTTTTTTTTTGGCACAGATGTGATATTGAAGTGTGTATGAAAATTCTCAAAAACTACAAAGCCCTATTCACTTGTTAAATGTTATAATTATGCTGCCAAGTCTTGGTTGTAAATGACATTAAATTGAGCCCAAGCATAGTAAATAAGAAACCAAGAAAAAGAACAGAAGGCAAACCCAGGACATTTGTCATAACTTGTCACCTTCAAGGCACAGGTCATCAGGTGTTGGAGGAGGAAGTAGGGATTGGTGATTACTTGCTAGCTAGCTAGCAAAACAGGTGCAGGTCCAAAAGTCAGTAAGAGGTTAGAAAGTGTAATAATGAAACTGAGCTAAAGGCAACAAACATTGGAACATTATCAGCCCAAATGACTCCACAAATATCCATCCTTATCAGAGTGAAGAATGTCACTAAAGTGGAATTTTCACTTGAATTTTGAGTTAGAATGTGTAAAAAATGTGTATATATATTGTATGTATATATACATACATATATATATATATATATATATATATATACACACACATATATATGGACATTACTTATGAAAATTTCTTTAAAGGGCATACCTGTTTTCTTATTAAACAACATATCGTGAAATCAATATCATCTTTAAGTTTATTTGTTCATTGTGGTGCTAGGGAGCAAACCCATATGTTAGGCAAGAGTTCAACCATGGGGCCACCCCTCAGCTGTGAGGACCACCATTTTGAAGATCTTCTAGCACAGCACATGGTAGTTTAGTTTTGCTTTCCTATTTTAGTCTAGGAAGGAAGTGTGTTAGCTGTCAGTTTCTGTTCTTCCCACTGGTATGTCCATCCACAGCTTATCTTTTTTCATATGTACAGCTCAAAGCAAAGGACAGAACCCAGGACACAGAAGTGTCCCAGTCCTTCCTAGCCCACCACAGTGTTCTTCCTCCACACAACCACCACACAGCAGCAGCTCCCACGTCTTATGTGCCTTCAAATTCTACAACCTTGTCTGAGAGGACCATGACTCAACCTTGATGATACCACTCTTTTTCTAATCCTTTCTTCAGGAGGCTCAAAGCATGGCTCTAGAGTCAGACATAACTAAAATTATTAATCCCATCATCATTTCTTAAGCTTTTTAGTGATCAGTCTTCCTACGTGAAAATTTGGGGATCCATCTTTATAATTCTTACATTTTCATTATTTATCTGTCTGTGGGCATATGGACTCATGCACCATTGTATACGTTTGGAGGTGAGAGGACAGCTTGCAGGAGTCAGTTCTCTCCTTCCACCAGGTGGATTCTGAGAAAGTGCCTTTACCCACAGAGACATAGTGACAGACCCAAGGTAATTCTTTAACTCTGGAATTTAACATTTTTTTCAATATTAAAAATTTCTATCATTCATCTTTTTTTCATCCTTCCATGGTAATCTTACAAAAATGTTTGAAACAGAAAAAAAAAATCCTGAGAAATATTTCAAATGAGTTCATACAAAATTAAAAATACTCAAGCATATTATTTCCACCTACCCAAAGAAGAAGAAGAAAAAAGTAAAGAAATAACAATATCAATGATTGGAAAAGATACGGCAAAAAACCAGAACGTAAAATGCCTTTTGTGGTGGTTTGAATGAGAATGTCCCCCTATAGGCTCAGGTATTTGAACAGTTGGTCCTTAGTTGGTGTCATTGTCTGAGAGAAGTTCAGGAAGTGCATCCTTACTGAAGGAAGTGTGTCACTGGAGTGGGTTTTGAGATAAAAAGCCTTGTGACGCTTCCAGATTGTTCCCTCTGCTTTGTGTCTGTGGTTGACATATGAGCTCTCAGCTTTCTGCTCCAAAGCCAAGCTTCCCTACGAAGACAGAGTCTTGTCCCCCTGAAACTATAAGCAAAAAATAAACTTGTTTTTCTACAAGTTGCCTTGGACATGGCATTTTATTATGATTACATATAAGTAACTAATACAGCTTTCTCAGGAAAGAAAGCATAATGCTATGAAAATTTTACATGCACATAATCCATGAGGCAAAAATTCTACTTAGGTCTGTTTTAGAGGAATAATTATTCTGTGTAAGAATGTTGTTGGTGGCATTTTAAGTGTCATATATAACACAATATACAGTCAAGTGAAAGCAACCGCAGTGATGTAACCCATTCCAGGGACAAGGCCCTTAGACGTAAACTGGGCATTGATGAGGAGATGAACTTCATGTTTTACAGTACTTCGTCTTCGATTTCGTCGGACCCCAAGTGCATCTCTTTGACAAGATCATCAAGCTCTCAGTGAGTACACCATTGGAGGTGGTGGTACCGGGGAAATGCAGGAGAGGTGAGGCACTGGGGCTGTCTGGGACAGCTTGGCGTGGTGAGGGATGCCTGCGTTCAGGGGGATGAATAAGCGCTGGTGAGCGTGGAGGCGGCAGACTAAAGCTGACCATCCCCAATATGGAGGATTTCAGGAGGGAAAACGGTCTCCAGGAATCTGTGCTTCTTGGAAGCAAGAGGTAAACCACAGCAAACTTTTGCTAAGCGGATATGGGAATAATGAAACATATGATACAAGTGACGTCTTAACTGACTGTCATTTTTCAGTTACATTTTTAATCAAGTTAATGTTATGTTTTCCTCTTGGGATGAAATCTATACTAATTAATCTCAACCGTCTTTTCTCCTAGTTAGTGAGAAATAGAGAAACAGGAATAGAAACTGGGGAGGGACCCCATACGATAGTCACATCCCTGATAACACCAAATGAGCAGAGCAAGTGGTTTGGAGCATTTTGGCATTCTTGAAAGCAGCCTCTGAGTGTTGACCTCAGGGCCTTTCCAGATGGAATTGGTTCTGCTGCACAGATCTTTCTCAGCCCTTCCAGGGAGGGGAAGTTTATCCACAGGGCAGATTAAAGAGGAGAAACAGTGAGAGCTCCCTGGGGTTGCTGGGGGCATTATCCAGGTATTTGGGTGGCAGGGGTGGGAAGGAAACATATAGATGGTGAAGCCATATTGTCCCAAATGAGCGCAGAACTAGTGTCAATAGCACACTATTCAGCAAAGAGATAGAGAACAGTGGGTGACAGGTGATGACGTCTATCACTCAACCTCAGAAAACAGCCACTTCTTCCACAAAGAGGGGTGTGAGACTGGGTGTGCCTGAGGGTGTAGGGTGGAGGTTGGAGAGTGAATAGGTGCTATGTTCCAAAGACTTCTCAAATAACAGAACTCCTTTCTTTATGTCCGTAAAAGTACATGGAGAATGAGGGAATGGTTCCCTCAACAGTCCCTCTGATGGGAACTTCGGCTGACATGCATCTTAGAAGTCCCCTTCCCTGTCCCGTTTTTAACAACCGCTCTCACACTGGACAGACGCATAAATGCATATGTGATGTGACCCTTAACCTCAACTGAATGTCAGTAAAGTTCTGTCTTAAGGCCTGGGTCCTAGTGGTACTATGATCCTGTCTTTCCCAGGAGCATGTGAAGAATGTGACTCTTGAGGAATGAAAATTCACCAAGGGGCAAACATTCTTAGCATTTGGATTTCAGGCATGATGGCAAGGATGCAGAAGTTATTTCGGGAGCTGGGATGGCTCCCAGGACTCTGTGCCATCACTCTAGCAGCCACCTGATGAGGCTGTCCCTAGGGCAGCTAAGTTCATCACCTGGTCTTTACGTGACATCATAGACAAGAGTCATGACTGCATGTAGGACACCTGGAATTTTAGACACGGGATCAATGGTGATTTGCATGCCTCCTTCCTTCTCTGAGAGAAGACACTGTTTCTCTGTTCTTAAATGACTCCGGGAAAGAGAGACCAGAGATTTTAAAGGAAACACCTTCCTGATGTGTTTAATACGGTTTTCCCTGCTAGTTCATAAACTGAAAGCCAGGGTGCCCAGAATGAATTCAGTGTTAGAGAAAAGAGAGATGACTCAGAGTCATGTCTGGTTAGCACGTTGACAGCTGTAAGTCCTTGTATTAACCACTGCAAAAACTTTTTCTGACCAAGGCAGAGAGCAGCACAGATGTATATGTGCGAATGTATTTAGAAGGCAGTTTGACCTCATGAGCATTTAACAAATTAACAAGAACAGGTTCCCGTCTAGGGTCCGTCATTTCCCCGTCCTTGGGCTTTTGACTAGCCTTGTATTACTAGGCATAAATTCTCTCCTGAGGAGCAGTCTTCAGATTCAGTGAGAAAATGTTTGGCTACCCCCATCAGATCATGCAACTGTTATGTATGTAAGAGCAAGCCAGTCAAAATGCACTGTGAATGAGAGAGGGACTCATGAGGCTCCACCCCTAGCTGAGGACCTATGGGCAGCTGATGGCTTGTGGATGAGGGAGCGTCATTATTCATAGGGAGTATGGCCACTGATAGGGTGCCTATTTCTAGTGGCTAGCCCCACACCCAAGCACATATAACCAGCATTAATCAGATTCAATGGGATCTAAAAAGAGGAGTGGGGACATGAATTTGGAAGGCAGACATGTTAGAGGGTTCCAGGAAGAGTTGGGGGGAAGAATGAGGGCGGATGTGATCAAAATACATTGCGTATTTGTATGAAATCCTCAAATAATAAATCAATAATGTTATTAAAAAGGGGTGGACTATGATGAGATGGTATTATATGCCCTGGTGATATCATAGAGGATTTTCCTTTAACAGTAGCCCAAAGAACCTTGAACTTCAGGATGCTGTTTGTGACATCCCCAGAAAACTAGTAATGCCATAGCCGATCTCAGTAGGCTTAGCTGGCTCTCAGCCAGTGGATGGATACCTTACAGAGGTTTCCTGACTGAATGGAAGAATCATTTGAGAGTCTTGCATTCTATCTTCCACAGGGACCTTTATCTCGTAAAAGGAGTTTGAGACAGGCCCTGGGGAGTCATGTTAGCCACAGAAAACAAGGCCAGTGACAAAAGCAGCTTTTTTGTGTATGGCCTTAAATAGCTCCTCTACTGAAGCCAAGCTGTCCTTGCTTTCCCTCTGTTTTCTGACACTGGGAAAATCACAGCCAGAGAGAGTGAAAGAGCCAGAGAGAGAGCAAGTATGGGAGAGAAATAGGAATGGCCGTCATTTCTCACGTCAACTGAATTTACTTTTTCTTACTGCCTCTGGCAAAAGGAGCTATTCAGAAGATACTAGAGTTTACCACTCATCCTTCTTTAAACCATTCATTAATTCACCGACTGTTCATTGAATATCCATTATGAATGAGGCACATGCTAGATAGAATACACACTGCCCTTGATCAAGGAAATCATGGGATTTATAGTTAGTAGCAATCTCAGAGGCGCCTCCTTGATGACACAGAGTTCGTGGGGCCCCTGGGTTCCAGTGACCGAGATGTCATTAATTCTGGAGAATGACCCTTTCATTGCTGAGAGATTCTGACTAGTATAAGAAATAGCTTCCTTAATTGTGCTGAAGTCTCAACCTGTTACTTAAGAACCATGCAGGGAGCCTAACCCATTTTCTGGATGCAACATTCCCCAGATTTGAGGGCACTTCGGTCACACCGTCTTCTTACTGACAGCTCTCCTTTTCTGGATTAATGACTAAATTATCCCGGGGTTTCCATCAGCCTCCCACACACTGTGACGTCTAGACCTTCCTTCAGGACTTCCGCAGGGTGATACCAGCCTTTCAGCAGCTGCCGTAACCAAGCTGGGCACTCGACTGATTCCTAACCAGGAAAAGTACTGTACTGTGTAGAAGTTACTCTACCCTGCAGTACCAAAACATTTCCTGGCAACACCTGATAGGTTCTCAAGAAAGTTGTGGAAAGGGTTTTGGAGGCTGAGGGAAGAAGGCACAGTGGCAGCTCAGGAGATCGAGGACAGACGCTTGGAGGAGGTGACACTTTCGCCATTGAAGGATGGGTCAAGTTTGAGCAGGGAGAGGTGGGTATTGAGGGGTGGCTTTGCAGGTTGTTTGATTAAAGAAACCTCTTGGGAAACGAGAGTGTCAGGTGTCCTTTGGCAGATGAGCTGAAAAGTTCCTGGAGAAAGAGGCACAGGTGAGACACAGGAGGCCACTCTGGGGGTTGATGGCCAAATTTCACTAAGTCCCACACAAGGTCAAACCCAGACAGGAGTCAAGTGCTAGAAGTCTCTTTGTGAATCCTGCATCCATTTCACAGATGTATTCTCAAAGACAAATGAGTTAGGTTGGTACTTCATCTTTTGTAGGTCTTACATAACAAGCTGATAGGAAGCATCCTGATTGGCTCTTTCAGAGTGGACGTGGGGACGGTGTACAACCAGCCTGGTAAGCAAGCTCCACTTGTCCATCTTGCCTTCTGACTCTTCTTTGGTTTACTCACTGGTCTGCAAAGCTGGGGTTTTTCTGTGTGGTTCACTAGATTCGAGGTCTCCCAAATACCTACAGTAAGTTGAAAGAAAAAGTCGGAGAAGAAAGTGGGAAGGAAGAGAGGAGGAGGGAAAGGAAGACAGTACGGTAGCCTGGGGACTGGGGATGTCTGGGGATGTCTACTATCATAAGCAGCAGCGGGAGGAGGCCAGGAGTCTGCAGGCATGGGAAGGGAGCAGGGAGCCACTGTCCCATCTGCAAAGAATGTCACTTACAAGATGTGTTCACAGGTCATCAGTTCTGTGACAAGTGGGCACTGCTTACAGACCCTGGGGACATCAGGACTGGCACCAAGGGCTACCTGAAGTGTGACATCAGTGTAACCGGGAAAGGAGACATCTTAAAGACCAACCCCAAAACCTCCGATGCCGAGGAGCAAATCGAGAAGTGAGACAGATCCATCCAGCGCCACAAAAAAATAAATTATATATATGCCCCACTCTGGGTCTCTTTCCTCTCTCCGCTGCTTTCTCTATGGGTGTGTGAGTGCTGTCAAGCTCATGGCTCATCCACCAGAGACTCTGCTCTGTCAGATGCCTAGATGTATTTTCTCAAAGCCATGGGCTCTTTGGGGAGTTCGGATTCTGGGACAAGAACACTGTTTCCCCATAACAGATTATTTTAGAAAAACCATTCTATTATTATTATTATTATTATTATTATTATTATTATTATTATTATTA